TGTTAAGAATATCCTTCATAAACTTCACATAGCTTATCATTTTTTAAGGCTTCTTATCCTTCATAAACTTCACATAGCTTAGCATTTTTTTAAGGCTTCTGCAAATGGAATATTAATTGTAAGTTTCTTAAAAATTTTCAGAAATTTTGAAATTTTTTTATCCAACTTCTGTTGACAGGGCCTCTAAGGAAATGGATGTGGTGGTTTTTCCAAGTCAACTTTAAGTGGAGAAATACATCTGTTTTTCCAAGTCAACTTTAAGTGGAGAAATAGATCTGTCTAAACCTTTCGGAGTTTCCTCTTCAAGCTCTTCAATTTCTTTTCTCTCTACCTCAGATTCTTTTTGAATTCTACCTTCCAATTCTCTTCTGCTTCTAAGTTGAACAGTTTTTACTTGTTCTTTATTCTGGTGTTTTGGATTTACTTCAGTATTACTAGGAAATGTTCCTTGGGATATATTACTTAATGAGTTTGTTATTTAACTCAATTGATTCTCAATATTTCTAATTGTAGCTCCTTGACTTTGTAACTGATTTCCCATTTGTAACACCACTTCTTCTACCGATAATTTTTCTCCTTAAATTGTAGATCACTGTTAAAACATGGAGGATAAGTATGCCTATAATTACTATTCCCTTGATTGTTCCAGTTTCCTAATTGGTTTACTTGATTTTTCTCCCATTGTTGATTATTACCACCCGAAGTATAATTCCAGTTAAAGTTGTGATGGTTATTCCAACCTAGGTTATAATAGTTTGAATATGGGTTATTTTGTTTATTATTTATGACATTCAAAGTTTCTAATGATGCTTTATAATCTACCATTTGGACTAATGAATTATACTCAATCATTACAATTGGTTGAGAAAAATTTATTCCAAATTGGTCTAACTTCATTAAAATTGTAGCAACTAAATTGTAGAAACTAGATTTGCTAACATTGTAAAAGCATCAAATTCATGAATATTGGCTCCTCTCTTAGGATTTACTCTTTCAGAAGGCCAATGAAAATTATTAGTAGTCGTCTCTTCAATTAAAGCATAAGCGTCATGAAATGGTTTTGACATCTTTTGACATCAATAAACCAAATCGATAATAGATTTAAGAGATCCAACTAATTCATTATAAAAGGTTTGAATTATTAATCAATTTAGCATAGCATAGTGTAGACACATTTTCAGTGGTTCTTTAAATCGTTCTCATGCTTCATAAATGGATTCCTCTCCAAACTTACAAAAAGATGTAATATCATTTTTAAAATTTACTGTAAAACGCATTACGCATACATTACTATGAAACAACATAAAATAAAAACACACAAAAAAGAACTATATATAAAAACAACACTACAATATTCATATAATAAATCTAAAAAATTAAATAATAATTTCTAAAAATAAAAATTTTGCTTTCTAAAAATCTCTTTAAAAATAGATACGGAGATATGTTTTGATGGGTATAACTTGGGTGACAGGCAGAAACACTTACCAAGCTAATCCAACTTCTTTACACACTCGGAAGAGGGTAAACAAGATATATTCTCCTATTTGTCATTATCCATACTAGAAATTCTTGGTATTCAATCCTACAATCCACTTAGGCAATCCCAAGAGAAAGGTAGTTTCATATCTTGAGATTCACCAAACCAATTGATATAGTTAGGTTTAGTTGTTGTCATTCATGATTAATTGTTAAAAAATCATTATAATTTGCATTCCAAACTAAGACCTTAACTTACTAAACTAGAACTTCACCTAAAGGACTCATAACCTCCTTCTATGTGGGGATCGACAATCCGGACTCAATAGGTCATACATTGCTGAAACGATAAGTATACTTACATGAGAAATCCTAGTGAGTAAAAATATCTAACTTTAATAACTCAATTAAATTTATAAGGAGTGGATCAAGTTTTTGGTGCTATTACCAGGACTTACATTATTATGATAACCATTGTGGTGGATCATTGGGTGAGGTCAATTGGATGAGGATGTGGTGAATTGTTCAAATTTGGTCAAAATTGGGGTAGACTCATTTGATCTTGACCATCCCAAGGTGTCATCAAATTTTGAGGTTAAAAGGGTGTGCTAGGGTTTAGGGTGATTTTTAGGGTTTGGTGGGGTTAAGGAGGTCTTTGGTGAGACTATGGAACAATTTAGGTAGACCACTCTCCTAATGTGGATTTCATGATCAAAGTGGTTCCTAGGGTCCATAGGCAAGTCCCTAGGTTTTGAGTTGATTTGGGTGACCCGGGGTATGTCTTACCCATGGTGGTCAATTTGGATTCCTCACCTGGTCAAAATCCTAAACCCTCTCAACCAAGGGTTTAGGGCTTGGGCTTGCACTAGTGGAGCCTATGAAAGCACAACCCTGGTCTAGTGTCGTGATTCCTAAGAAAAGTGACGGCATTCCTCCATGTCATGCCCATGATCCCGATGGTAGGAACAATACTTATTTAGATTGTGAAGTGTTGGTATTGTCTTCAACGGAGAGGCTTTTTTGAAGTAGTCCCTGTTCTTGATGGCTTGGAATAGTTTGTTCATCGATAAATTCAGGGGTGTCGATCCTTACATCTCTTGATATATGTGTGGTCGCTCGAAGTACCAAGATGGCCGCTAGTCGGAGGGGCGTCGTTGCTGACCCTAGTTGCCTCGACTACTCTTATAGTTTTTACGGAATCTCAAATCACTGTTCAATCGTCGATCAAGGGCCTGATCACTGTTTGGCCTTCAATCGTCTTCTCGGTCCTTCCGCTTCTGTGGTCGGGGGGTCTGATGCTCTCAATTTAATTTCTGACTTCAAAGGTCTTCTTCAACAGTGACATGATCATTCGTTAATTCTAAGACCACCGCGAAGGTTTTTTGCTATTAAGTTCAAGTCATACCTGAATTACTTGTTGTGGATCCCCTGTAGCTCGGTCCGGGCCTCTAGTATTTCCTTTTGGAAGCGAGTGATGTAAGCCCGTAGACTTCCGCCCTCCCCCAACCTGATCTGAAGCAGGCCCATGTGTTCTTCCTTGGCTTTTGCACATTAGAAAAGTGTGCTTGGAAGAGCTTTAGAATTCGGAGAACGATGGGATGACTCCATCCGGTAGGCTATTAAACCATCAAAGTGTGACTTCTTTCAGCGTAGTCAGGAGCAACCAACACTTTATGGCGCCATCGACCTGTAGGTCTCCAACTGTTGACTCAAAAGAGGCAAGGTGGCCGGTCGGGTTGCTTTTTCCTTTATAGGGTTCAAAGTGAATAATTAGAGCTTTGTCGGGGGTATTGTTTCTAGGATTTTTCAGAAGAAGGTGCTACCCATGACCAGTCGAATGAGCACTTCTACCTGGTCCGCTCGATGTGGGATCGTCGGTGTAGATGAGACGCTATCTGTCGGGTGGGAATCTCCTAGTCCTTTAATTGGTCGATCACCAGACCAACCGAAGGGTGCTGATGAATTGTCCAGGGGAGCCCTCTAAAGTCAGGTGCCCCAAGACTCTCCCTCCATGGGCGTCGGTCGGGCATTCAAGATCGCAACTACCCGAAGAGCCTCAAACTAGTCCATTATTTGTGTTTGCAGTGCCTGCACCTCTTCCTATATGTCTCAATGTATTGTCTCTCTATTGAATTCCATTGGCGTTGAATCTTTCTGCAGACATTCTCCTTCGTACTTAGCTCTGCTTCTCGTCTGGAGCATGTCCATAGTCACCGCACCACCTTTTAGGATGTTGAATCATAAATTGTTCTTTGTGAACATACCTAGAGAGTTAGAAACACACGAATGAGGAAAGAAGAAATAGAGAATAAGTCAAAGAATTCACTGTAGAGAGAACGGGGAAATGTCCCTTTATTTGTCCTTTTGCATCCCATTTATAGGGGCATATTTATATTATTACAGAAAGGAGTGAACAATTATGAAAATTATCGTTAATACAATTGATACTCTATTTAATCGTACATATTTTATATCATATTTGTATTGCAATTTGAATTCTAATATGGCGGTATTTGGCTAGTCGGTCTGCTTGAATTTGGTCGGTTGAGGCAACCGACTGAGTGGTGATCACACTTTCCGAAGTAAATGTCTGTGGTCGAAGGCGCCCAGTCGAATGGTAATCTCGCTCGTCGTAGTAAAAGTGGGGCGGCCGACTAACTCGCGAGCAAAGGTTCTTGCATGTGTTTTCATCGGTTGGAACTGCGGACGTGGTCCGCTGATTAAATATCTCACCATAATGTGTCAATCCATTCTGATCTTGCAGTCGCTTGTTAGACAATAGAATGTCTTGATTATCTGACGGCAATCGGTTTAATTGCATAAAGATTCATACAAACAGTTTTCGCGTATACAAAACCGGACATAAAATGAATAAATATTTATTTGTATTCCGCAAGTGGAGAACTTTCTTTGTATGCACCTATGCAGGATTTTTAGAAATATTTACATTCATGCCACTAAAATCTTATTTATTTACATATCTAACACCTAAAATTAATTTTTTTTTTATAATTATATCGCTCAAATAATTTTTAAAATTGAAAAATTTAACATTTGCTCAATATACATAAAAAATTAATATAAAAAATAAATAAATATTATTATTTAATTATTTCAAACCATACAAACTAAACACAAACAACCAAATATTCGTTTTAGACTCATTTATAAATCAGGCCCAAAAATATTTGTGTTATTAATTTATTATATTATTATTTCATTATTTAAGTCATTAAATTTATTTTTATATTTATTATATTATCCAATTCAACCCCAATTCAACCAATAAACCTTAAACCTTTCCTTCTTCCACTATGATATCTGATCTTATTTTCACAACCTTTTATACCGTGCATATTTGCCCTGTAAATAAATATTAACAATCACATTTTCTTAAATGTTTTAAACAAATTACTGCA